CTGCCCAAGCAATTTCCACATAGGGAGTGCACTTCTCCATCATTCCTCTAAGGTTGGGTGTCAAGCAAGTTTTCAAGGGCAACTCCAGAGGGCTGGCAGGAGGCTGGGCCAGGCCAGAGAAGGAGGAAGGGAGGGAAGTGTCTGACTGAAGAAACTGGGCCATGGAAGAAAGATGCCCACTCCCTCAGTCCTCCAATCTCAAGTCAGAATCCACAGAAAGGCCAGAGGTTTGTAGGAGGAAGGAACAGCTAAAGAGAACTGAGTCAAAACAGGAGTATGTTCTTCAAAAGTGAACTGCATGAGTCCACTACATGAGTGTCAAATGTCCAACCTTATAGTTCAGACAGGTGGATAAAAATGAACCATTAGCTGGCACATGGTGCACACCTATAATCCCAGCAATTTGGGAAGCTGGGATAGGAGGATCGTGATTTCTAGGCCAGCCTGGGCAACTTCAAGAGATCCTGTCTCAAAATAAAAAATAAAATAAAAGGAGTTGGGGATGTAGCTTAGTGGTAGAGTGCTCCTGAGCTCAATTTCCAGTACCAAAAAAGGAAACATTAACACATTTTTATTTTTTGCCTATTAAGTTTGCAAAAAAAAAATCAGAATATAAATCTGAACCAGTTTTCTAGAGGGCCACTTAGTAACAAGTATAAAATATATTAAAAAATGTCTATACCATGGACCCAGCAATTCCACTTCAAGAAATCACCCGTAAGAACATAATCAGATGCTCCCAAAGAAATACAGCAAAGTGATAGGTGAGATAAAGTTTGGGAGATATATGTGAGACTACCATAGCGCTATCAAAGAACATATGTTAGGGGCAGGATTGTGGCTCAGTGGTAGATTGCCCCCCTAGCATGGGCGGGACCTGGGTTCGATCCTCAGCACCACAAAAAAATAAAGGCATTGTGTTGTGTCCATCTACATCTAAAAAATAAATATTAAAAAAAGGACATATGTTGACAAAGGAAGACGTTTATGATATAGCACCATGCCAAAGTTTTTGAAACTGTACACATAAGTATACTTTGGAGACATCATGGGTTCAGTTCCAGGCCACCACAATAAAGAAAAAAATCAAAACAAAGCAAGTCACTCAAATTCTTTGATTTCCCAGGGCATATAAAAGTTGTGTTTACATAATAGTATAGCTAAAGTGTGCAATACCATCATGTCTATAAAACAATGTAAATACTTTAGTTCAAAATGTTCATTGCTAAAAAATGCTAATAATCATCAGAGCTATTAGAAAAATGATGCCAATAGATTTGGCTTGCCACAAACCTTTGATTGATAAAGAATGCCATATTGAGGCTGGGCATATAGTTTAGCATGCAAGTGACCCTGGATTCCATCTCTAGCATCACACACACAAAAAAAGTATCTGTGCAGCACAATGAAATGAAATATGACTGTATAGTATTGTATTAAAAACACCTTTCTATAAAATACACAAATCTATCCATGGAAAGACAACTGGAGGATCTTATATCAAAAGGCTAATGATAAACATCGGTCACTATGGCAGCAGCTTGGGAAGCTGAGGCATGAGGGTGGTGAGTTCAAAGCCAGCCTCAGCAACTTAGTGAGACCCTGTCTCTAATAAAATACAAAACAGGCTGGGGAGTGGCTCAGTGGTTAAGCATCCTGGGTTCAATCCCCAGTACCAAAACAAACAAACAAACAAAAGGCTAATTATAAAATCTTATATTTCTAGCAGATTAGAAATAGTTTTTTGTTTTTTCCTTTTGGGGGGGGTATGTTTCCCACATTCTACAATCAGCATATGTTATTTCTATAATTAAATGACATTATTTTTAAAAAATGAACAAATTGATCGAATGTAGGATTTTTCTGAAACAATCAGACACTACCGCCCCTGCATCATCCAGATTCTAAAAATAAATTCCTAAATCTATTTTTCCCTCTGAAGTCTCTTCTCCTTCAGCAAATACACATAAATGGGCCCAGAACAGGGCCATGTGGCCCTTTTCTCTTTGCCTCCACCTCAAAATGCCTCTGCATTTCTTAGTTTCTTTCCCACATAACATATCAAGGCAGAGAATGTATCTGGCCCTGAGATTTTAAAAGCAAAACACTACGTACCAGACAACCACCCCAATCCCCACCCCACGTCCAATAATTATTGAGCTGGGCGTCTGGCCCAACTGGGGACCAGCTGCTGTGTGTCTGAGATCTATGAGGCACTGTTTTATTTGCAAATTCCCCATTCTGCTGTGGATGCTCTTCCAAGTCCTCAACTGGACTCTGAGTAACTAAGCTGGGGGTAGTCCCCAGAGTGGAGTGTGAGGACATCATCTCCCCTTCCTGGCCCAGGTAGCCAAAGAGCCCTGAAAATCTGCAGTGGGTCTCAGACACTGACCAGGACTGATGCTCCTCATGCCTCTCAGACACAGCCAAAGCCAGCTCAATAGAGTGAATAAGGAGGTGTCATGCAATGAATCTTGTTGCATATCTATCCTGATCCTTGACCTTAAAAGCAGCAAAGTGCAAACTATTGTTTATTCAAACTGCCATTTGATTATGTTAAAACCCAGTTCCTGAACTCAGAGAGAACGGTCTTTCTGATGGGTACAAGCTTCCTGTCAAAAACAGTTAATTTTAATTTTTCCACTGAGCTCAACCTCAAAGTGGGATTGATTGCTACTCAGCAATGATGGACTGCATTAGGGGAAGCTTTAATTGAGTGCAGATCTGGGTTCCAAAAGCATAATGTTTGTTGTATACATACTTTGGGACAAAAAGAAAAATGAAAAGCAGACCTTTCTGAGGAAAAATTGAAAGCAGAATGTGTTCCACTGTCAGGATGCCAGCACAAAGGCAGCTGGAGGCCTTGGTGGAACTCCCCACTGCCCCACACCACAGCTCGACAGGCTGTTTACAAACGTTTCTAAAGACTCAACGCCTGTGCTCAGGTCTCTCCTTCCCAAACTCTAGAGACCATCATGGTTTCTCTCACGGCAAACAAAAAGCTCCAAGAAACTAGTAGAGACAGTAACACCACTGGAGAGGGGCCATGGCATGTGCTTCTGATGCAGGACTCCTCTCAGCCCAGGGTGTTGGTCCCTATTGCCATCCAATATGGCACTTCAGTTCACATCCTTTTCCCAGTGGCCTTGAGATGAGGTTTTAGCTGAAGCACAATGCCACTCCTGTCCTCTTATTATTAGGGTTCCAGACCCATGTCACCTCTTCCCTGAGCTGCAGGCTGGTCTCTGTGCTATTGAGGGAGATGTCTTCTTAAAGCCAGATCTGGTTGTCCCTCTGTGACATCACCCTAGTACAAGCCTCCTTCCTCTTTTGCCCATACAACTGCAGAAGCCTCCAGCAGACCTCCCTGCTTCTGCTTTTGGTCCCTTTTTAATCCCACTCCACACATCAGCCAGATTGATCTTTATAAAAGGCCAACAGTGCTCACCCTTCCCTTAAAGCCCTCCAAGGCTTAGAATAAGATCCAAACTCTTTCTTGTGGCCTGCTAGAGCACACCAGGATCCCACCTCTGCCCTCTGCTACAGCCACACCGGTCTCCTTTCTCAGCACTTGTTCCTTCAGCCTGAATGAAACACTCTCCCCCTCCCTTACTTCAATGCCACCTCCTGGCAGAGGCCTACACTGACCATCCTACCAAAAGCAGGACCATGGTCATTCTGCATCCTGTGACACGGCTCTAGTTCCTTCACAGCTCTTATTACTGAGATCTTATTTGTTTGTTATTTGCTATGTCTAGTAGAACCTGAGTTTCCTAAAGGACCACGACTAACCTCTTCCCTGCTGTAACATCAGCATCAGAACAGTGCATGATACCCAATGGATTCTAAATCACTATTTGGGGATAAAAGTTTGCAGAAAGTAACAAACATTTCCTGAAAGGCCTGCATTATCTCCAGCCTCTATATCTCAGGTTGTGAGTTCCTTGGTGTGGTCTGCTCTTGCCTCTCTCTTCCCCTCCATCACCAAGTGCTGACCCTTGTGGTGGGGCAGTCTCAAGGAGGACCCCCCTCCCCAGAAGCTCCCCAACCAACCTGCCCTCCCAGCAACAACTCCTGCTTCCTCTGATAGTCTACCATGTTGCCTTTCCGTCTAGTCATGTTCCAAGGCCACAGGACCTTGCTCTTCTTTCTTGGAAATTCTTGTCTAGAAAACTAAATGGGCTGGGGTTGTGGCTCAGTGGTAGAGCACTCGCCTGGCACATGTGAGACCCTGGGTTCCATCCTCAGCACCACATACAAAAATAAACAAGTGAAATAAAGGTGTTGTGTCCAACTACAACTAAAAAATAAATATTAAAAAAAAGAAAGAAAACTAAATGACTTCTCTGCCAGCTTCAGGAACTTCCCCAAGTAACTCAAACAATGGGATACTCAAAAGCTGACCTCAGAACAATGCTTTACTCAACTAGGCCAAGTCTCACCAAAGTAACTGTTTCACATTGTGCCCACCAACCCTGTGAAAATTTTGCCCAATCTCAATCAAAATCTCACAAAGACCAGCATTTAGCCATTCTTTCTAGTCCTGACCTGAAAAACCCTATAAATATCCGGAAGATTCAGAGAAGAGGCCTCTTTAAGGGGTCTACTGGGGCTCTATGAAATCGGCCCAGGTGAATGGGTTATCCTGGAAACCTTTTGGGGGATCTGGCTGGCCCAGTCCAGCAGGAGTGTTCAGTGCCAGGTTTAGCTGGATTTGGTAAATGATGAAAAAATGGATGAATGAATAGCTCAGTCACACCATCCTCCAATCCTGAGGGATGAAAAGACCAAATGGCGTGAATGGCCCCTGGGTTAGTCTAAGCAGGGCTTTGGGACTTCATTTGAAATCACCTTATTTTAGGAACCGGAATTGAGTGAAGAGAGCCTTGGATGGTCCTCCAAAGTCCCCTCCTCACCTCCATCCACCCCAAAGTCCACACCACTCGCCCCGTCTGCGCCAAGCCCCGCATGGCAGACCATCCTCTCTCCCTTGTGCCCAGGGCGACGGCGCTGGACCGCTTCGGGCTGCAGAAGGCGGGCTTCACGCACGTGCTGAACGCGGCCCACGGCCGCTGGAACGTGGACACCGGACCCGACTACTACCGCGACATGCCCATCGAGTACCACGGCGTCGAGGCCGACGACGTGCCCACCTTTGACCTCAGCGTCTTCTTCTACTCCGCGGCTGCCTTCGTCGACTCGGCTCTCCAAGACGATCGCAGTAAGAGGCCCGCCCCGGCCCGGCCCCGCCCCCAGCCCCGGCCCCGCCCCATAAGAGGCCCCGCCCCCTGAGGGATCTGCGCCTTGAAAACGTGATTTTCCTATCCAAGGCTCTAAGGTTGCATGTGGTTGATGAGGAGACCTCTGAGCCTCGGGAGGTTGTCATGGTTTGAGGACCAGCCTCACCGAGCATGCTACTGGTGGGGTTCCGACTTTGATGACCGCTGAGGAATCGGAATCGTGAGAGTTTAGAGCGAAGGGCTATCATTAGGTCTGAGTAAGTGTTCCCTGAGGAGTATCAGCCATCCTTCAAAAGGAAAAGGCGGGGTCTGGGCGTATAGCTCAGTGGTAGAATGTTTGCCGATTGGAGGCTCTGGGTACAGTCCCCAGCCCCCCCACCCCTACCCCCCAAAAAGGAGCCAAGATCCTAGCCAGGTTCAGGGTGGGTATCTATGGAGAGACTTTAAATTCTTCTAGTCTCACTAAATTTCCAAGCGCACATCCTCCTACCCTCTAACACTCCGTGTAGCAAGACCTCCCATAGCAAGTTGACAACCTTGGCTAAATTGTATCTGAGAATTTGAGTTTTGTACCTGCAATGTTCAAGTTTCCCAGCGTTGATTATCCATCTTCTAAATCATAGTACTAGTCCTTGTGCTCAAAAATACAGTTTTAGCTGCCCTAATTTAGGAAAGGCTACAGGCTATTCTGGAGAAAAGGGCACAGCCTAGGCATGTACCAGGGAAAACAATATGCAATTATTGCTGCATATTGCATTATTGCATTCCACAGAGGCCAGAAGGACTTTAACTCCCTAATTTGGGCTCTGACTTCAGCCCCATGTGTCACACTCCTTTCTGGGGACATCACATAACTCAGGGTATCCAGTTACTGAAAGCCTTTCTTGCTGTAAAGGTTGGAATCACAAGGCTCACTGACTGACCGACTGACCTGCTTCAGGAATTTGCAACCTGGGGTTGGGCCTAGGCCAGTTCTGCTGGACAGTCATCCCACAGTGGCCCTAGCTCCACAGCCAGCCATAGCTACTAACAATTTGTCATTATCAATGGTTCAGAAAGCAATGTCACTATGGGGAAAAAAAAAAAAAAAAACCATGGAACTGAAGTGCTTGTGTTAAAAGATGTCTCAATTCTAAGTCATTTTTTTTACAAGTCTACTTATGGATTATCTTTTGTGTTCTGCACATTCTGGATTTCCAAGCAGGATGAAAAAAGTAATTGAACTCTGACTCATCACCATAAGGTAAAGTTTGCCTCGTGGTGTTTGAAGTTAACTGAAAACACATTTGACATGAAAAAACAAAAGCCTACAACAGTTCAATCTTTCAGTTTCTGTTTTATGTGCTTGCTTGCCATTTCTATGTCTTAGAACTCCCCCTTAATCGAAGAGACCTGGCAGACTTTGGAGAAGACAGGACTGGGTTCAAATTCCTGTTGCAAAACTTACTAATGATGTGATTTCTCTGAGCCTTGGTGTCTCCATCTGGTGATGAAAATATTTACCTTGTGAGGTTATAATGAAGATCAGCAGTAACACACATAAAGCATTTGGCATAGAACCTGGTGCACAGCAGGCTTTCGGATGCATTTGATAAAAAGAGGTCGTGTACTGTGAAGCATATAACTTCGCCAGCATATGCATATCATCATAATAAAGTTTCCAATCCTAAAAAAAAAAAAAAAAGAAAAGGAGGAAAAAAGACATTCCAACTTTGAACTTGTATGATATACTCACATGAAAGCTTGTTTTAGGTTCCTGGCACAGCATTTGAGAGGCTGCCCCCACTGCTAGATCAGGAAAGAATCAAGATCTAGAGTCACATGGCGAGGCCCTATCTCAGTGAGACTCTATCTCTAAATACAATACAAAATAGGGCTAGGGATATAGCTCAGTGGCCAAGTGCCTCTGAGTTTAATCCTTGGTACCCCAAAAAAGAAAAAGAGGGAAGAGGATATATAGAGAGGCTAGAGGATGTGCAAGCAACCAGATTGATTGGAAGGATGTGAGGCCTAGATCAGCTGGGCAGAATCAGGGAGCAGGATGAGACAGCATTGTCAGGTGGGAGCTGGGCTCCATTCTCAGTGCCCTTTGCCCCTGAATGTCTACAGACTTCCTCAGCCCAAAGCATCAAATATCAATCCTTCAGAACCATGCAGAGCAGAAACAAATGAAGGTGTCCGCGTGTAAGGCAGTGGGATGTAGGGACAGGGCTGAAGAAAGTCCTGTGCTCCCTTCAAAACCAGCAGCTGCTGCTTTATTCCAGCCAGTGTTTCTTGTGAAGATCAATGAAAACATGGTAGAATTTCTGACTTTTCAGGAAAAGTCTCCAATCTGGATTTTACTGTAAAATCACTCACATTTGTTGACATCAAATTGATATTTCTTAAAATGCGGGAGAGGGCAAAACCAAAGCAACCCAATGGCCATAAGCTCGTCACCTGTGCCCTGAAAGGTGCAGAGTAACAAAACAAAATGCTTGTTAGCTTAGCAACAGCACTGCCATAGACTCGAGAGAAAGCAGATGACAGGTGCATGGCCTCCCTGCCACGCGTGCAGTGGGTAGCCTGCTTTTGTCTAGTCATGCACTGGAAAACCAAGGGACACTTTTGTGGCATTTCAGAGGCAGATCCAGTCGTGTGTTTCTTATTATACTCCTGATGTAAGAGGTGTTGATGGGCAGTCTGGCCCAAAGGCAGGTCTCTCTTTTTCCTCCCTCCTTCCTGTCTTTCCTGTCCTCCATTGACTCGTTTCAGCCAAGGGTACACTGTTCCCTCTCCCCTGTCCCTCACAGCCAGTCATACTCACTCTTTCTTTTTTAATTTAATTTTTAATTTTTTTTGTGATGGGATTGAACCTAGTGCCTTGCACATGCTATGTGTTCTTTTTTTGGTACTGTTGATTGAACCCGGGAGCACTCCATCACTGAGCTACATCCCTAGTCCTCCCCACTTCTTTTGGTACTGGGGATTGAACCCAGGACGCTTAACCACTGAACCATATCCCTAGTCCTGTTTTAAATATTTATATATTTGGTACTAGGGATTGAACCCAGTGCCTTGCACCACTCTACCTACCGAGCTATATCCCCAGTCCTTGTTTTTTAATTATGAGACAGGGTCTCACTAAGTTGTTGAGGGCCTCACTAAGTTGCTGAGGCTGGCCTTGAACTTGCGATCCTCCTTCTTTAGCCTCTCGAGTTGCTGGGATTATAGGTGTGTGCCACTGTTCCCAGTGAACCGCAGCTCTTTTTATTTTCTATTTTGAGAGGGTCTCACTAAATTCCCACACTGGCCTCAAACTGGCGATCTTCCTACCTCAGCCTCCTGAATCACTGGGATTATAGGCATGTGCCATAGTGCTCAGTATATTCATTCTTTTTAAAAACCATCCCTCATGTGTGTGGGGGGGACTGTACTCCTGGCCAGTTATCATGCCCAGAGGCCCACTCCTACCCCCACTCTATGCTGATTTGACCTTCTGAATGAACTCTCCAGAAAGCCTCAGTCCTGCTCCAAAAATCTTAAGAAATAATCTAGTCTGCCATCCAGGTCTGAGATCTTGGAAAACCAAAGCCTAGAGAAGTCAAGTGACCTGCCCAGGGCCACAGAGCTAATCAGAAGCAGCAGTCAGGACATGCCCTTGCCAAGGAAAGGGGTTCCTTCCATCACTGAGACTTCATGGAAGCGTCTTTGGCCCTTATTTTGAGCATCTGGTGACTGTGCTGTATGAGGGGTACCAATTATCATGGAAGGCAAGGCATGTCAGCTGGTTATGGGACCTGAAACAAGTGAACTCATCTTTCTTCATCAGAAAAAGAACCTGTGACAGAATACATTTGGAGTGCCTTCACTATTCCCATGTGATTATCAGGGCCTGCCTGAAGATCAAATTTCAGAATCAGCACTGACCCTTGGTTCATTCTTTTTTTCTTTTTTAACTCATGGTACTGGGGAGGAAACCCAGGTCTTCATGCATGCTAGGCAAGCACTCTACCACTAAGCCACATCTCCAAACTGATTCCTTCTTTCTTAAATAAACAGTCTTTAGCCTACTGTTGAAGCTCCCTTAAAATCTATTATGGACCCAGTAGGTATGAATAAATAAACGAAGTCTGCTTCTAGCAAGAGGTTGATTCTCTGGCTCTGGTTGATTCCTTAAGCCTTAACCAGACCAGATCACCAAGTGTCTCCTGTCTTCTATGGCACACACACCCTGGCAGTCCATCACGCACCCTGTTGGTAAGGGGACATAGGGGAAACATTTGATGGAAACTAGCCATTTCCAGATACAGATTTGTGACCTATCAGTGGATCAAAAATCAATTTGTTTGGGTGTTTCTTTTTGAAACATTGAATAAATTAGAAATAAATAGAAAATATCAGCTTGCCTTGCAGGCAGTGCAGGTATGGATTACTTTTGACTGACAGGCACACTGGCCATCTGCTTGGGCTCAGATCCTGGGTCTGCCACTCCCTAACTGTGTGACTTGGACAAGTCCCTTCTCTGCACTTCAGTTACCTCATCTATAAACTGGAGAAAATAACTTCATCAATGTCATTGGGTGACATTGACAACATAAAGTGCTTAGAAGAGAATACAGGTGTCAGCTGTGAATTTCATCCTGCTCTGTTATTTCCTGGGGGTTGTGCAGAAAGATTTAGAAGCCAGTGATATAGAAAATGTCAGCTCTGTCAAGGCTGCCTTTGCCGAGGACCCTACCTGTGGCTGGCATCCAACTCACAGTCTCCTGCTTTCTCCATGAGGCCAGTGCTGGGAACAGGCCTTCTGACTCTACTGATTCCTGCCACCCAACCCTGGGCTCCAAAGGATGGTGCTTGGCAGGGCCATTGAGCAAAGAGGGAGCAGAGGCCTGAGATTCTGGGGACAGTCCCAGAGAGGAAAGAGAACAGCAGGCTCTTTACCCTAGGAAGGTCCATCTAGTTCTCATGGCTGACAGCATGAATGTGGAGGTTTTGAAAACCAAACTCAACTCCAGGAACTCCTGCCACAACTGAATGTCCCTCCTCCCTCTTTTCCCGCTTTCCCTTCCACCCCCTCCAGCTCCCCTGCGCCTGCCTCCCCCATCTCCCCCACCTTCCGCCTTCCTCTCCCCTCCCCCCCCCCTCACTTAACAGACTTCAGGCTCCCCAAAGGCTTAATGAACTACAGCTTTCGTCTGTTTTAGTATTTAGTCATGACAGGAAGAATTACTCTTTTTGCCAGGAGAGGAAGAAACGCTTTAGTTATCAGCAGAGCTGGCCAGGGGCCAGGCAGCCTCTGGAGCAGCCTGTGGGGATTAGAATGCCAGAGGTAGACATGCGCTGGCCTGGATGCAGCCACACCCCACAAGCACAGTTATGCTGGGCAAGAATGTGGGGCCCCCATCCCCTAAGCCCTAAGTAGCAATAAAGAAGGGGGACCTGCTTCCTGCCTCCCTTTCTGGCCAAGGTGAAGAAGGGAAAGGCCCAGCAACATGGAGACGTAGGATGAGTGGGCCTGGTGAGCTTGTGGAGATCAGTTAAATTGTGATAAAATGAAGAACTATTTACAGAGCACCTCCCTGTGCCAGGCTCTGCCTGTGGAGAGGCCATTGTTGTCCTCACTGTTGATTGGAGTGTGCAGACTTCTCCAGCCATGTAGGGCTGGAGAGAAGAGTCCAGGTGCTTGGTGTTTAGCACCACATGGATTTCTCATGCTGCCTTGGTTTCTGACCATCATCACTCTACTGGGCATTGGTCCAATGAGGAAAGTGAGGTGGTGGCAGTGAGAGGAACATGCAGAGCCACTTCTATGCAGAAGCTAGCTGTCCTTGTATCCTGTGATGCTCCATAAACTCACCAATGTCCATGAGTGTCTTCTTGGACAACTCTTCAGGCTTCAGGCCTGAGACTCAGGAACAGGGCCAGCACTGGGGTCACAGAGCTCAAGCAGTCCCAATGACTGTGACACCAGCAGAGTGATCCCATAGCGACAGGAGAGGGCACCCACTGGCAGTGGTGGGACAGTCAGTTGAATCTTGTTGCTCTGAGCACAGATAAAGCAATGAGATTCTAGTGGCTATTGGGCTGGCACACAGTAGGGCCTCAAATATATGTTGCATTGAGCTATTCCAAGCAAAAGCTTTCTGGGCAACCTCTAGCAAAGTCATCGCACCCCCATGAGCTTGTTTCCCCATCTGCAAAGGAAGGATTATGATAATGAATCCTTGAAGGTTGGCTGAGCATAAAAGGAGATATGAGCTAGGTGAGCTCTAGAGCGCCACCAAATGGAAGCCTGAGGGATGGGAAGCTTCTGAAGCTCCTGGCTTCTCAGAGAAGCCCAGCTGTGGGCTTGGAAGAGGCCAAAGAGCTTTTCTTCCAGATCTCTGGTTCCCAACTTTTTGGATTCAGAATTCTTTTACACTCTTAAAAATTAGTGAATACCAAAGACCTTTTGTCTATGTAGGCTATACCTATCAATATTTACCCTATTCAAAGTAAAAACTGAAAAAAATTAAGATATTTGTTCATTTAAACAGACCTATTGTATAGCAACATAATTACATAGTTTTATGAAAAGTTATGTGTTCCAAAATAAATTAGGGAGAAGAGTGATATTATTTTACATTTTTCACAAATCTCTTCAATGTTAGGTTTAACAGAATTCAGTTGTATTCTTATATCTGCTTCTGCATTCAGATTATTGTTATAAGCTCTTTCAGTTGAAATATTTAAAGAAAATACAGCCTTATTTATATATGTAGTTGGACAAGGGAGGAATATTTTAATAGGCTTTTCAGATAATTGTGGATAGTCTTCTTTGAAACTGCACCAAATCTCCACAAACAAAATATTTTAAGGTCACTTGTGATGTGGAATCAGAAACCGTATCAATGAACTTCATATACTTTCACATTAAACTCCACTGGTCTGTCTTAAGTGGATCTTTTGATATAACATTAAAATGTCCTACACTGTTCATTTGGAAATACTAGTTCACTAAGTTATATGGTTCTTTCAAATGCTGACATTTTTCATTGCAGATTATCCAAAAAGCCACACTTGTTAATATCACCATCTATCTTAAAGGAAAAAAAAATCATAATGTATTAGGAAACTGTCCATCTCATAGTGATGGATACAAGTTTTCCAAAATTCGAATTTTTGCTTGAAATTCTGCATTTTATCACCAGCAACAAATACGTCAGTGGTTTTCTTTGAAATGACAGGCTCACTTGGTTCACTTTTGAGAAGAGGGCTGCTAAATTCCCAAGTTTGAATACCCATGGTTTTTCTGTCATTTGTTCATTCAAGGAAAAATGTGTTTCCTGAAATCAGCAGCTATTCAGCTCGCATCTCAATCAGCTCGCATGTGGTTTTCCTTGAAACAACCATTGTACTTCAGTATGGGGCCAAAGTGCTTTATGTATACATCCCATTTCATCACATGTTATATTAAAAAGTACACCCAGGGGCTGGGATTTGATAAAACTAATTTTTACTGCTTCATCGAAGTTATTCTTAAGGGAAATTGCTGTTTGCCCCCTGAGAATATGTGGGGGCAGACAAAGCAATTTGCTTACTAGTCTAACTGGTGCCTGTGCCATGATCCCTGCTAAGACAGCAGAAGTTCTGCACACCATTGCCTTTGTGATGGTCACAAAGGCAATGTCAGCATGCATGTCAACATAGTCAGACAAATATCACCACAGTACGATGATGGAAATCCTATCGATTCCATGCATCTCCTGAAAGTTTCCTGGGAACTCCCAGGGATCTTGGAACATACTTAGAGAACAGCTAGAATAGACAATAATGTAGCTAATTTAAATTTGAAGAATATTCATCCCTTTCCTTTGGCACATGACAATAAAACTACTTTCATTTTTTAAAAAACTCAACCATGTAATTTTATAGAATTAGATTTGCTCACTGCTGATCTGATTTTGCTCCCCTCCTTGACAGTTGAGGAAATTAGAGCTCCAGAGGCTTAGTGACTTACCTATTTGTTAGCCAACTGGCAATTAGTGGCAGAATCCAGTCTGGAACCCAGGTCTGCAAGAGATCAGGCCAGGGTAATATGGGCCCCACTGGCTACATGGATGCTCAAGGATGCCAAGCAAGCAGACCATGCCCTCTGGGCTGCAGAAAGGGCCATAGGGGATGAGGCAGCTCTCCTTATCCAGGGTCAAATCTAGCAGCACTGCAGATAACGTAAAAAGCATCCATATCTCTCCACTCCACATGTAGCCCATGCATGGGATGGTCATTCCAGGGTCTCCCAGGGAATGCATTCTGTCTATAGTTGCTTATCTCTACAGAGGAATTTCGTTTTACACACACACACACACACACAAAAAAAAAAAAATTAAACGAATCCTTCATATACAAATTGATAAAAATGTCCAAGATATATTGTTAAATGGAAAAGCAGGGTATGGAAAAGGATGTAGAACTTTGCCTTTGAGGGAAAAAAAAAGAAGAAGAAAAATAAATCTATTTCATTATGCATATGCACTGATTCCTCTCTGGAAGAAAAAATTGATAATGTCTGTGGCTCCTGGGAGCTGAGGCACTGGAGTCTTTTCAGGGCATCCTTTAGTAACTTTTGAAATTTGAACCCTAGTGACTACCCTATTCAACATAATAAATGAGCATTAAACACACACACACACACACACACACACCCATAAAATCATTTCTTCAGCACACTGAGGTACTTCTCACTTAGAGGTACTCAGGCAAGCGAGAGCCTTAACTTCATTTCCCTCTTCCCCTTCCTTACCAAGGCAACAGTAACATCTCCTATCTATCTATCTATCTATCTATCTATCTATCTATCTATCTATCTAGTGCTGGGGATTGAACCTAGAGGTGCTTTATCACTGACTTAAGTCCTAAGTCCCCAACCCTTTTTATTTTTTATTTATTTTTAAAAAATATTTATTTCTTGGTGTAGATGGACACAACACAATGCCTTTATTTTTATGTGGTGCTGAGGATCGAACCCGGTCCCGCCTGTGCTAGGCGAGCGCTCTGCCGCTGAGCCACAATCCCAGCCAACTCCCCGCCCCTGTTTTATTTTTTGAGACAGGATCTCACTAAGTTGCTGAAGCTGGCTTTGAACTTGCAATTCTCCTGCCTCAGCCTCCTGCACCACCGTGCCCAGCAACTAATGCCATTTATTAAGTTTTTAATGGGTGCCAAGCAGCATACAAAGTATGTTATGTACAAATTACCTTCACAAAGACAAAGAAACCATGAGAGTTTCCCCCATGCACCTGGGGAGCTGTGGGTATAGCCAGGCTGTGGGTGAGAGCTGAGTGAGCCAATCAGGACTGAGCAGGCCTCCCTGGGCCTCATGCAAGGCCTTCTCCACAAGCCACACCACTCCTTCAGTGTGGATTTTCTTCTCCCAATTCCATCTGCAGATAAGATCCTGGTTCACTGCGCCATGGGCCGGAGCAGGTCGGCGACCCTGGTCCTGGCCTACCTGATGATCCACAGGAACATGACTCTGGTGGATGCTATCCAACAAGTGGCCAAGAATCGCTGCGTCCTACCCAACCGGGGCTTTCTGAAGCAACTTCGAGAACTGGACAAGCAGCTGGTTCAGCAGAGGCGACAGACCCAGCGTGGGGACTGCCAGGGGGAGCCATAGGACCCTCTTCACCGCCAAGCATAGACTCTTGGGATGGAGAAAAAAAGCTGAAATGGCGCTGCCCCATGACTTTGGTCACAGAGAAGGGACAGCAAAACCAAAGCTTGACTTCTTCCTAATAATCTTATTAAACTTCCCAGTGTGTGCTGGGAGCGGGGAGGCTTCAGAGCCGCCTCCAGGCGGAGTCCAGGCCTCAGCCCCGTGGGGGGAGACTGGAGCCCGGCTCAATTGGTTACAGATGAGAGCACCGTTCTGCAGTCTCCTGTAATTTTTTCTCCCTCTTCTTTTTTTAAAGATGGAAACAGAAAAGGATTTAAAAATGTGTGGGAATTGTGTTGTGATTAAATATTTGGCTTTGTCTGAAAGTCACATTCTTATAAAAAAATAATTTAAAAATAGAACTTGATTTTCTATAAACACAGAAAATTCCTGTGCAGCTGTGTTACAGGAGAGCTTTCACAGGTATCAGGGCCTCCGGAGGCCACCCCGCATTCTTTACCCATGGAATCCCCAGGTCACCATTCACGGATGCTGCTGGCCTGGCAGGGGTGGGGAGTAGGGTCCTGAGCCCCTTAGAAGCCCCTGCCCTTGGCTTCTTGCCTGCCTCAGGGAGCCAGGGCTCTTCTGAATGGTGGCCAGAGCTGCCACTACTCAGACAAATTCAATAAATTGTGGCAAATTTGGACAAGCAAGAGTTTGGCTTTATAATTTTGCACAAAGAGGGAAAGGAGGAGACACCCTTCAGCAGACCAGGACTGTGCCTCTAGCCAGAGCAGCTGGGGCTGGTTTGTTTTCAGTCACACCAGGAAGTATTTGTAAAGGGGTTTGCTGTGGAATGGGAGGATGGGGCAGTCAGGGGGGCTCAGGGGTGAGCTAAGCCACTCACTGTGAGCATGTGTGCTCTTCATTCTTGAGAAAATAGTAGCAGCACCAAATGGGTCATGGTGGCTTCTAGAGCCAGGAACCTGAACCAGACTGAACCCAAAGAGAGAGAGGGGTGGGGGTGGGGTGGGGTCCTAGCAGCCAATGACCAGAAAGGGAAACCACCTGGATAAAGCCAAGAGAGTGTGCTAAAGGCCTACTGGGAAACAATGGAAAGGCGCTGGGTCTCCAGTTTGGTTGTGATTCTCAACAGAATGAAAGAGGAAGTTCTTGTGGGAGGGAGGTAAGAGTCCAGGGATTCAGCAGCTGGATAAAGTCACCCAAGAATCTCCCTGTGGCCTCAGGGAAGCTTTTCTGCTTGCTGTGTCCTGGGCCCTTGTGCCTGGACCTGATTCCCTGGGACTATCCTGGTTCTGCTCTGGGAGGGTCACCTTGGCCCAGGAGAAGACTTGGTCCTCTGATGAACATGCACAGGGAGGGGATTCCCCTGAGAGTCCCCACTCTCTGCCTGTGTTAAAGATATTGGGCTTCTAGTAAATTAAAAACCTGAAACATTATAAAGGAGTTGCAAAGGAAAAAGGCAAAGCTGAAATGGAAATATGAATGTTTAGTAAATTGGTCTATCTTGGTGATAAGATCAAAAAGGAGAGATGTTCCCTCTGAAATTGTGACAGGTCTAAACTAGAGAGAGGTCGGGCTGGATCAGCCAAAACTCATGTGATTGTGAGAGAGAGAGAACAGAATGGTAGGGGCATAATGACCAAGGGTGATGGAATTGCTTAATGACTCAGATTGGGGTGTAATTGGAGCCATGTATGGGCTCTTGGGAAAGAGATGCAGACCAAAAGGGACTGGGCTCAGAGTGATCTCTACTAGTCTTCCCTAGCATGGCATCCTGATGACTGCCCTCTGAACTGTTTTCTCTTAGGTCTGATCTATTCTGTGCCCAGACACAAATCAATATTTCTATTTCAATAAACTATTTACATTTCAGTGACTTCACATGTAGGGAGGATGTGTTTTCTTGAGCACCTACCACCCCTCTATGCCACCATCTCTTTGTGGGGCAGGGCCCTGCAGGGGGCAGAAGCAAGAGAGAATTTAACACTGGAGGGTCTGGACTCTTCTGGTGACTCCAGAGAGCCAGATAGGAGAAAGGAGGAACAGTTTTTCCAATAGTGTTTCACATCTTCACAAGTAAAATTTTCAATCAATGAGTATTTGTTGAGAATGTACCACACATGCCAACAGTTGCATTATAAGAGGTCAATAATAAAAGCTAAAGTGTGGGTTGTAATAAAATGCAATGAGGGAAACGGGTGCTTAGGTGGAAAGCAACGGGGAGTGTTGGGGGAGCAACCCACTTTAGAAGTGGGGTGGTGAAGGGCAACCTCTCAGGGAGAGTAAGCTTAGGCTTGAGGTTGTACATCTTGCCAAGGAGGAGCGAGCATTCTAGTCTGAGGAACTGCCCGTCAGGTGAGGGGAGAATGCAAGAAAAGGGGTGGAGAGGTTGGATTTTATTCCCAGTGCAAAGAAAAACCACTCAAGTGTTTTAAGCAGGGAAATGGTGTGAGCTTTTTCAAGATCACTCCAGAAAGAAAAAAAATCATTTGGCTGAAGTATGGAGAATAGGCTATAGGGAACTGAGAAAGGAGACCAGAAGATCAGTTAGGGGGCTGTTATAAGAGAGGGGAAGGTGGCTTGTACAGATAGTGCCAGGGAATTTGCATTCAGGATCATTTTGGAATTATGCGGGAAAAGGAGTGGACTTGCTGAGAGGGGAGAGAAATGAATGTTAATGAACTGGGTATCACTGCATTATGGCATGTCCAGAAGACACAGAAAAGGTGTCCCAAGTAATTTGATCTGCAATCTAGAGCTCAGAGGAAGGTTCACAACTGGAGATACAAATACTGTGAAGAGGTAGAACTTGAAGTCATCATAGGAGATAGATAAGGAGAAAAAAAAGAGAGGATGCTCCAGGCCGGAGTGTTGCAGAACGTGAACTTGTCCAGCCAGGCCTAGGTGGAGGAGGAATCTGGGAAAGGGAACAAAGAAGGTAGCAGGAGTCAGGGAGGCCTGGGCACAGACCCTGAAGTCACTGCTGGGTAAGCGACAGTCCTTGCACTTTCAGTATCTAAGGCTGGCTGCAGAGCAAGCCTTGCTTGCAACAACAAAGGAACCTATATTTATGGAGCACTTAACAGTTTTTACAGCATCATGTATTCATTAGCTAAGCCTTTAAACTAGAGAGGTGACGAGTTACAGCCTTTTCAGAGTTCAATGTTTTAGGAGCCTTTTCACAGGATACAGTGTTTTAGGAGAAAGAGCTGTGATTTGGGAACACCGGGTTTGTTTCAGCTTACAAATTTTAGCTGGGTGAGTTCAGGCAATTAGGTTAGCTTCTTTGAGCCTCCATTTCCTGATCTGTAAATGAAAACGACCACCCCATTTCCCACACAGGGTGAGTGTGGATCAGGTGGAAGCGCTGTTGGTGAAAGCTCTTTGTGATAGTGTTGTGAGTCGTTATTTCTGAAACAGCACATTGGTGAGGAAGGCCAAAGTCTGAGGCCTGAGTCCAAGGGCGGGCACCATTCGAGCTATGAAAGTAGGTTGGCAACAGACAATCCATGTTAGACTCTTGAAGAAAATGAACAAGAACACATTCCAGGTTTTTAAGGTGTGGCCTAATCGTGAATGAATCCCAACCTAACGGTGAGTGTATTCAGTCATGATGAATCCAAGTTCCTGTTTTCTAGGACCTGTGGTGTCACATTCAGGTCTGAATTTCCCATCGAGTGGGCGGGTGAGGAGAGCAGGGTGCTCCCTGGCTATCCCAGCTGTGCAATTTCTCTCTTATGCTAAACCTTTCTGATCCCTCAAGAAATGCTGGGACTTGGGGCCCAAAGATAGCTCCCAGTGACTACGCCACAGTCTCTGTGAGACACAAGGTGTCCTGTGTACTGGTCTGATTCTGGTGTGGCAGGTCTGGGACAGTGACTGGGATTTGTCCCCGACCTCCCTAGAGGGCAGGCATGAGTGGGGACATTGGAGCCCTAGCATCCTACAAACCCAAAGGTGTGATCAGCAGGCCACTGCCAAAGGGAATGGTGGGAGGGTCTCCAGCCTTCCCCAAAACTTAAAGCAGCAGGAAAAAAAAACTGAATCATGAAAGTTTCAAAGTGGGGCTTGTGGGGAGCTCTGTGTCAGGGACCTCATCCTGCCTCCCAGGCTTAAGCAGCCTCTTGCCTGATGCTTGGCCACTTTTGACCTGCTGCAACCATGATTCACACAAGCCATGCATTTCCCCATCAGAAGAATGGGGAGCACAGCAACTCTGTCTTCCTTCGCCACAGCAGCCCTTGGAGCCCTCCGGCTACCCTACTGGTGTGGCCAACTTTGCAGGTGTGGGAGGGAGGGATTTAAGGGTAGAATCTGGATATTAAACCCACTGCACATGCAAAAACTGAAAGAGAATGACACAGGTGAGAACACAAGGCCAGGCTCCGCCAGGCATCCTCCTCCATGTGGGGCCTTTTATCTTGGTGCACGCTCTATCCTACCTGTTCAGTGTTTTGGGATCATTTTAAAGTTTGTATCTATCATCTGTGTTAACACCTAACTATTATGTGTTAAAACAATAGTAGTGATTTGCTTAGCAGAGAGCTGTGAACACCCACTTCTAGACTCACTGCTTGAATAATCAAATGTTTAAATTTTCATGCAAAATGTTTTCTGAATGCCATTGAATAATGTTTGTGAATATTTACTTTTTCCCCCTTAGTCTGAACGTTTAGACTAAAGAAAACATACAATCAATCATTCACAACAGAGCAAAACTTTCACACTTAAATAAATTTTCAAACATACTACACCAAACTGGGTGTTTTGGAATTAATCTTTATAAAAATGAAGCTTGCTATCATGGTACTAGGCTCTGAGGGTGTTTATACAGACTGTACAAACTAAGCAACTAGATATTTGTGCAGGATCTCTTTGCAAATGAAGATCAAAGTCAAAAAGAAAAAAACAAATTCACTTTATTTTAAAGACAATGATTGGCATACAGAAGGTATGCACTAGCATAAAATAAACTTTCATGAAAAGCATTAAAATCC